AGAAACAGCTCGTTAGTTAACTTGGCTCAGGAATAGGAATGAATAAAAGAATGAACATACTTTTAACATTATTTGATTATTGGGATCATTAATCCCACAATGCCTTTTGTAAGTGGCAGTAAGGACGTCATCAAAAATTGGAAGAACTTCTTGGGGATAGTTCATAAGTTGAAAATACAATTTCCTTGATGGACTATATGCAAGAAGGTTTTGCATGTCAAGGTTCATTTTGTATATTTCTGTTTGTTTAATCTGAGCCAAATATGAAATTAATTAATATCTGCACATAAATTATTTTTAACAAATAATTAATTACCTTTCGCATATAATATTGGTAAAAAAACTCCTTGTCCATATCTGTTACAGTAAGATTTTCTTTCTCTTTACGGTATTGTAGCTTAAAATTAAGAAGAAAATCTTCAAAAAATTTTTTGACTTCTTTTATTTCTACATTTGTACCCCATATTTGATCTTGTCTTTCTCTTGATCTTCTCTGATCCTCAACAAGAATTTCATTTTCACGAGCTGGCAATTCATCTAAATTACCATTCTCATTGTCCTCATATAAGGGTAATCTAGTGCTAGGGTGTACATCACCGCGTTGATTTCTGGATGGTCTAGCAGACCCAACTGTCCCTGAACTGTAGGTCAAAGAACCTATTATTACAGTAAAATTGAGGACAAAAATTAACAAAAATAACAACTTTATCAGTCACCTCATAATTCCATCCTCTTCGTCTAAAAGCGCTCTAAGAGGATCCGAGGACGGATCCTGTGCAAGATGTTCAGGGTTTTCATTTATGGCAGCTGAACGTCTGATGAAGACTAGCCTTCTTCGTGAAGCACTCCCGTTTAGAGAGTTTAAAGACGTAACCGTTGCCGGAGAAGAGTTCAGATTATGTGAATTCTCGATGCTATCGAGCTGACGAACGGGAGTATTCCTAGAACTATCATGCTGGCGCACAGGAGTACTTGGGGTATTAAACGTAGAACTATTCATAGATAACAGAGATATTACAGATAGAAGTAAAAAAAAATAGTGCTAGAAAA